ACGTTTCAGCAAAAAAAGAAACTGTCCAGATGACCTGACTGAAAATTGCTGGATTGTATATCTGGATTATTGAGCATGGACTTTTTTGGCTTTACATGGGGTCTTTCTGGGTGGAGTTTGCATGTTCTCTCTGTGCATGCGTGGGTTTTCTCCGAGTACTCCAGTTTCCTCCAACAGACCAAAAACATGTATGTTAGACTAATTGGTATCTCTAAATTATCCCTAGATGTGAGTGAGAGCGTGAATGGTTGTTTGTCTCGTTTGTCTCTATGTGGCCCTGTGATGGACTTGTGACCCGTCCAGGGTGTACCCCGCCCCTCGCACAGTGATTGCTGGACATGGGCACCAGCGACCCCCGTGACCCAAAATGGAATAAACGGGTAAAGATAATGGATGGATGGATGAATAAAATGCAACAAAAAGCCAAAGAGAATTTTTAGCTTTTGTCTATAACCTAAACTGATCCCGTGTTCATTTCTGTGGACAAAAGATGCTCCAATTGTCATCTTTAGGTCTCCTGTTCAGGCTTAAAGGTCACAGGATCAAGAGGAATGGCTGTCTGCAGGATGTCAAACTCCATCTGGTTATTGTCCATGTCCAGAACACACAGGAAATTGTGACTGCCTGAGGTTACGGTCGCTGTGTCATGAAACAGAAAGTCAACAGATGTCCTCCTCTCCTCTGCCTTCTCCTTCCTTAAAATGAGAGTGGAGTCAGACACCTCTTCTTCCTCCCCGCAGCTCAGTGCTACCTCGTTCTCATAGCAGAATTCAGTCAGAGACTTTGGGAACAGGTTTTGTGTGGATCTACAGGCTGAAACTAGAGATGCAGTAGAAGAAGCCCGGCTTGCAGCTTCGTCAAGCTCTTTGGCGCTGAGATGGGACGTTGATGGTACCTCGTATGTATTGTGGAAGCAAGCATAATCTACCTTGTAGCGATCCCGGTCCTCGTAGATAACAGGCTCAAACCTGTGACCCCAGAAGATTTCTCTGGCAAGGTAGGAACTACGAAACTGTGTGGTCATGGCTGTGGCTTCTACCATTCCCTCTAGGATCACAACAATCTCAAAGTCATCTGCCTCCAGATCAGCTCGGCTTAACGTGTACAAAGGACTATCTTTATCTATCATGTGCACTATAACCAGAGGAGACACTAGAAACAGCCTGTCTGTGCCGTCATCGTAACCCACGTTGAGGTCCATCTGTTCCAAGGGGATGAACTCACCCTCAGCTGTAACGTAAGAACGTATAAGCTGGGCACGGACATGCGCTTCCACAATGTGGCTCCTCCTCAGATTGCCCACCCTCCACATGAGGCACAGCTTTCCATCACGTAGGGTGATGACTGCATTTCTGGAGAACATTAGGGTCTGGTTTCTCTTCTTCGGTCGAGCCATTTTGGCCATAATGGTGCCAATCATGAAAGAGTCGAGGATGCAACCTACAATGGACTGTACAACCACTGTTATCACAGCGATGGGACACTCCTCTGTAACACAACGCCAGCCATAACCAATGGTGGTCTGGGTCTCCATGGAGAACAAGAGCGCCCCAACAAAGCCCTGAAGGTGCAGTATGCAGGGCATCTTTTGTGTCTTCCCTCCAACTATGTGTCCAGAGGAGGGTCCATACAGCAGTCCTTCACCTTGAGGTTCCTCAAAGTCCCCATGTGCAAAGGAGACACTGTAAAAGATTAAGCCAAAAAGCAGCCATGAGACGATGAAGCTAATGCAAAACAGAAGCAGCAGATATCTCCAGCGGATGTCCACACAGGTGGTAAAGATGTCTGCAAGGTACCGCTGCCTTCTGTTTTCCATGTTAGTGAATACAACATTGCATTGCCCATTTTTCTTCACAATTCGGCTCCGTGTTTGATTGGAGCCCCTCGTCAAAATCTTCTCATTATAGCTGTTCATCGCTCTTGCGTTGGGCAGGAGAGCAGAGGCTCCTGGCCTCCACCTACCATCCTGTTCTTCTACGTTGTACTGCTCTTTGTTTTTTGGTGAACTGTGACTTTTGTAGAGTTTTAAACTGGAGGTTTTCTGGAGTTCATCTTCTGACACAAAGTCTGACACGATGTTGTACCTGTCAAAAAGTGGAATTGACATTGAAATAAATTCGAAAAGAAAACACAAGGGGGGGGGGGGGGGGGGGGGTGTTTGTCTATCATAGACGCAAAGTATTTATATAATACAGGATGGATTTCAACTGAACTCAAAAGTAATCATTGAATGGACATAAACAATTGATTAACTTTTGGAGTCAACAACCTGATTCAAGATTGCCATCACAGCTAATCAACATTACCAAATACAAAAATGGCTACAACTCTGTCATCTGTGCAGCCATTGAGCTAAAATGTGGTGTGGTAGTAGCTGAGAGTCATTCTCAACACATACTGAAAGCTCTAACAGATCCTGCATTATCACTTGAGATCATGCTGTAACTTATTTAAAGTTTTGACCAAATCATGTCTGACTGATCTTTCTTTCAACAGAAGATGGGTTTAGCATGAAAGGCTGCAGGTGAATTCCTTTCCTTCAAGGAATGCTTGGCCTTCAATTTTTAAAGATGTTTATGAAGTGTATTTTTTTATGGTGCACATAGGCACTAAAAACACATATAGGATGATTTTATTTGGTGACACAAATGAAAACTTTTAAAAGCAAAAATTAACACCTTTACACATTTTGGAACAAATAGACTTTAACTTCCAGACAGTCAAATTGGTCAAATTTTGTGGATGAACCAAACTAACCCGTCTCTCCTGGAGGATTACCTGATGGGAAGGTGAGTTCAGCTGTGAAGGATTGCTGTTCTCACAGATTATGGGATTAAATTTGAGTCAGACTCACTAACCATTTTCAGATGGACACACCTTATGTCACTCTAAAATGTGTAAGCAAATATTAAAACTATTAACCCACTTGTGTCTGAGAGGTCTGGTTAAGAAGTGCTCTCTTTAACACTCAACAAATCAATCCTTGGCACAATTTTATGTAAATTTCTTAATCAATGTACAATATACAGTAAGTGGGTTGTTTGATGGTTGGCACAACCCCACCAAACACTGACACTATAAACTTATATGACAGAAAAAGTATGAGAAAACTGGGTATTGTAGACTTACATCAGTATAACATATACCACTTGATACAATGACAGAATATCAAAAGTTCTGTTGGTCATCAGGCAGATAGTCTTATGTAATGCAGTGAATCTGCTGCAGCTGTCCAATAGTACAAGTTCTTTGTCTGCCATCAGGACAGTGCAGGATGGCCTTGGCCTTTAGAGGATCTGCTTGCAATAAATACCTCTGAGCTGACCCTGACTCATCCAATCCAGTCACATTAACAAGTGCTCACCTCACAGGCTGTTCTGAGACAAACATCACTGACAAAATAAATGTGGACTTTTTTAAAACTCATTTGAGATTTTATAAACTTATAACAAAATAAAGGCATAAACTTCTCCCTCCAAGTCAGAAAGAGGCCGACTACAAAATTATTGGATATTTCTCACCTGTTGGACCTGCTCGTTCCCATGGCACCAAGGATCTCTGGGAAGTGGCTCCAGTGGGAAAACAGACTGTGTCCTCCCACCAATCTTTAGGTCTCTCATAAGTTTTTATGATGTTGAGATGACCACTGCAGCAGATACAATGATTTTATGTGTTAGGTCTCTTGTAGCAGTCAGATTACAAGAAGAGTTCCTGAATGTGATGCATTTGTCAACGGTGCAAAAACTTAAAGGTTGTAAAACCAATGGGTTTTAATCAGGTCATTTAACATGTTAGCCTTTGTTTCCTCTTTAAAATGGGTGTCTTTCTGCTTAGGCATTTGTTACAGCAAATTTTAAATTCATATATCTTACTGAAAAATATGTAGATCAAAGTAAAACCTGACTGGCTATATTAGCACTCAATAAACACATCCATCCATCTATTTTCTACCACTTACAGTGGTTGGGTTGCAGAGGCAACAGGTTTAAGAGGTAAACCCATAGATCCCTCACACCAGCAATACTCCCCAGCTCCTTGCGGAGGATCCTAAGTCATTACCAGTCCAAGGAGGGAAAAAAATAAAACTCAAGCAATTTTGGATCTACCTTAGGTTTTCCTCCCTATGGAAAGTGCTCCTAAAACTCTCAAAAGGAGGCACCAAGAAGGCATCTTAATCAGACGCCTACATCAACTCGATTGATTTTTTTTTCAATGCAGTGTGGAGTATGTTTCTGCTGCTAACATTGGTCTTGCAGCTCCTGAGTGGCAGGAGCCAACCCTTCTCACCTGTTCCAGATTCAGTGCTGATGAGGACTACTGCTTTCAAGCTCTTGCGTCTCAGTAGTTCAACACTGGAACATTGAAGCCTTTTGGTAACTGTGTGGCAGCTCGTGTAGACAGTCTATTTCAAGTGATTCTAACCTTTGATCCTTTCTGTTTTCTAAGCCCTGGCTTGGTGCTGTCCTCCAGTGGATCCTCTTAGTCCCTCAAGTTCCTTTGTGTTGCCCCTGTGAGATCCTCCAGGAACCATCTGCCTCAGCGTTTCTGGAACATCCTGCTTTCGTGTTCTACAACAAAGAGCCACGAGTCAGTCTACCTAGTTTATGTCCTGCCACACTCCAACTAAAGCCTATTCATCTACATTTCTTCACTCATGGAAATCTCCACCATCCACTCTACACTGGCCCCTACTTGACAATCTGTAAGAAGAAAACATCTACACTTAGACTAACATTTTACATCCTTTTACTAGATACTTACCATTGGGCTCATCTCCCTGCAAATTCATCCTGAGCCCATCTTCACTATACAATAAACTTCACTTATATTTTGCCTGTGTATAGACTACTCTGTCAGTTTGCCTACTCTGGGTGTTTAAAACTGTTAAACTATGATACAGAGGAGTAGCTTCTCAAATCAACAGAAGCCCATTTCAGCCACTTGTAACAGGCATCTTTTTTTTTTTTGTGGTGGTCATTTTCCACATCTTATGCCAAGGCAGGGGACAATCAAAATGTATATGGATTGGTAAATCAAGAGCATTGCCTTTCAGCTCAGCTCCTTCACCACAACAGACTGGCGTAATGTGCTCATTACTGAAACCATGACCAGTCAATTTCCTGTTCCATTCTACCATCACTTGTGAACAAAAGTCCCAGATATTTGAACTCCACTTGAAGCAGAGACTCACCTCTGACCTGAAAGGAGCATCCCATCATTTTCTAGTGGAATGCTTCTCTATGAGTTTGAGTAGTTTGGTTATCCTGGGGACTATGTGGTCCAGGGTATTACTGTAGCCATTGGCAGGGTCCCCTGACAAACTGGTGTTAGGGGAGGAGTCAGACATAAAGTGAGTTTGAAAACTTCAGTGATAAAGGAGGAGGAGGACCACATTAAACAGGCAACCTTCCGAAACCAAGCCTAGATGGAGAGTTCAAAGAACACAAAGTGATTCAGCTACAAGTAAAAAGTTGCCACTTTTAGTTTAGTTTCCCTCAAGAAAATAAAAGAATGGATAAAATATTGCTTTCTTGTGATCCTTTTGAGTTTTGGGGTTTTAGGCAGGAGATGTCAGAAAAGTTACCACAAGGATAACTGTGTTGTGGTGGCCACACGTTGATGGTTGTTTGTGCCTATGCAATAAAAGACAGTTCAGAGTATCCAGCCTTACAGTCCTTAGCAGGGGCGCTTGAAGGAGCTCCAGCCAGGGACTCCTGTTGGGAGACTTCAATGCCAATGTGGGTAATGACAGTGTGACCTGGAGGGGCGTGATTGTGAGGAAAGGACTCTCTGATCTGAACTTGAGTGGTGTTCTGTTGTTGGATATCTGTACTAGTCAAGGTTTGTCCATCACAAATGCCATGTTTGAACATGAGGGTGTCCATAAGTGCATTTGGCACCAGGACACCCTAGGGCTAGGTCAAAAGATCGATGACTGACTTTGTAGTTGTGTCATCAGATTAGCGGCTATTCGTTTGGACACTTGGGTGAAGAAAAGAGCTGTCTAGCTATCAACTGATCACTACCTGATAGTGAGTTGGATCAGATGGTGGGGGAAGATGCCAGACTGACCCAGTAGACCCTAAAGTATGGCTGTTGCTGAGGCAAAAACTAGAATGTGGAAGGAGTTTGGTGAGGCTCCCAGTCAGCTCAGAGGAGATTCTGTCAAACCATCAGGTGGCTAAGGAGTGGAAAGTAGTGCTTTACTAACAATGGTAAGGTGGTGTGCAGTTGACCTCGACCATTGAGGACATCAGGAGGTGGAAGGAACATTTCTCAGACTTTCTCAATCCCACCAGCATGTCTTCCATGGAGGAAGCTGAGTCGGGGAACTTTGGGGTTGGTCAGTCCATAATCATGTCTGGGGTTGCTGAAGTAGTTAAAAAGCTCCACAGTGGCAGGGCTACGGGGGTGGATGAGATTTGCCTTGATTTCCTTAAGGTTCTTGATGTTGTGGGGAAGTTTTGGTTGACATCCTTTGCAAGATCACTTGGACATCGAGGGCAGAGCCACTAGATTGGCCGATTGGGGTGGTGGTTTAATTCCCTGTATTGTGAAATTCTTTATCAAAGGTTCGTGAACGATCGGCACATATTATTCAGACGAAGGAAAAAATGACACACAGACTGTAACTTGCTAGAATAATATTTGTCATTTATTAATCTGCCACAAGAAATCACAGCCAAGCAAAAGAGTCATGTACACTCTTAACACACAAATTGATATGAGTATCCCTCACCGTGACAAAATGATCGGGAAGCCTTTCGATCCAATGAGGAGAACTCAATCAGGCGATCTGGCACCGCGCGCTGGTCCAGAACAAGACTTCTAACTCTCTGTTGTTTGATACATTTCTTATATACCTTCTTCCCTGACCGGATCGCGTGAGAGCAGATCAAAGCAAGTTTTGATGGTTGCCAGGAGAACAGATTTAATTAAATCTGTTTTTCCTTCATCAAAGCAATCTGTGCAACAGAGCGATTTCATATAAACATGTCCTTCAAAACCTGGGTCACTGTAACCTGAAAACGGGGCCCCATCTTCTGGTTAGAGCATCCCCCGGAGGACTTTAATTACTCCAAAACACATCTGCAGCACAGGAATGACTGAATAAGCAGATAAGCTGCATCAAAAGTGAGTATAAGTGTGTTTAAATAAGTATAATATAGGTCTAGATTGGCATAAAAGCATTAAAATAATAATTTCTATATCATTCCCTCTTTAAAAATGGAGACCAGAGGGTGTGTTCCAATTATAGGGGCATGTATTATGAAATTCTTTATCAAAAGGGCTCGTGAACGATCGGCACAGATATTCAGACAATGGGAAAAGCAAAACACACAGACTGTAACTTGCTAGAATAATATTTGTCATTTATTAATCTGCCACAAGAAAAACAGCCAAGCAAAAAGTCATGTACACTCGTACACTCTTAACACACAAATTGATATGAGTATCTCTCACCGTGACAAAATGATCGGGAAGCCTTTCGATCCAATGACAGAACTCAATCACAACTGCATGGAACCGCGCGCTGGTCCACACAAGACTTCTGACTCTCTGTGTTTGATACATTTCTTATATACCTTTCCCTGACCGGATCGCGTGAGAGCAGTGGAAAACAAGTTTGATGGTTGCCAGGAAAAACAGATTTAATTAAATCTGTTTTTCCTTCATCAAAGCAGTCTGTGCAACAGAGCGATGGTTTCATAAAAACATGTCCTTCAAAACCTGGGTCACTGTAACCTTAAGATTGGGCCCGATCTTCTGGCTAGAGCATCCCCCAGAGAACTTTAATTACTCCAAAACACATCTGCAGCACAGGCCTGACTTTAAGCAGATAAGCTGCATCAAAAGTGAGTATAAGTGTGTTTTCAAATTACATGTAAATGAGTATAAATTGACATAAAAGCATCAAAATAATCATTCCTATATCAGGGCATCACTCTCCTTAGCCACTCTGGTAAGGTCTATTCAGGGGTACTGGAGAAGCGAGTCCACTCATTGACCAAACCTCAGATCCAGGAGAAACAATGTGGGTTCTGTCCTAACTGTGGAACTCTGGACCAGCTCTTTACCCTCACTAGAGTCCACAATGGATCATGGGAGTTTGCCTATCCTGTCTACATGTGATTTTTGGACTTGGAGAAGGCATTCAACCATGTCCCTTGGGGTACACTGTGGGGGTGCTTGGCAAAAATGAGATTGGGGGCCTGTTGCTACGGGCTGTTCGATTTCTATACAAGCGGTGTGAGAGTTTGTTTCACTTTGCCGGCAGTAAGCCAGACCACTTCAGTGTGGGAGTTAGACTCATCCAGGGCTGCCCATTGTCACAGATTCTGTTCGTAACTTTTATGGACAAAATTTCTCAGTGCAGCAGTGGGCGGAGGGTGTCCGGTGCGGTGGCCTCAGGATTCTGTCTCTGTTATTGGGGACTGCCAGGCACCTATTATTCTACACCTCGGAAGAGTGTCTACATTTCTATCTCCGTTAATGCGACCTGAACCACAGCGTCTACTTCCACAAAAGTTATATCAAAACGACCGGCTT